CATCTGCGGATCATATTTAAGTCAAACAAATACTTTTTATAATCATCCATATCTTTTAAACCGTAACTCCGATTTGAACATGTTATATATGAAATTTAATTAGAAAAATATGTAGAATATGAATATGAGATTATTGTTACCTGTTAAGTATTTTGAAATATTATTTTGGAATATATTTGAGTCAAACCAAATGATTTTCTAAATTATCTGTATCTTTTAAACCGTAACTTCGATTTTAACATATTATATATGAAATTTTATTAGAAAAAAATGTGTGGAATCTAAATATGATGTTAATTCTACCTGTTAAATATTTTTAAAATATTGTTATGGAAGCAAACTTATAATTTATAGCGCAAGATCCATTTTTTCATACTGGCAGCGATCCGGATTGCAAATAAATACCCCACTATAACCATATACGGAAAAGAAAACATCAATAACTACACGTGCATACCTCTGAAAAATGTCGCAAGGGAAAACAAAAGATTTTTCATCGCGAGAGTGAGAGAAAGCGAGCGAGAGAGAGAGGGAGAGGGAGGAGAGAGGGAGAAAGAGACACCTTAGGATTAACCATATTCAACACACGTTTTTTGTTGTTTTGTGTGAACACCGAGGCCATCGCCGGCGAGGGTGAGAAGGAGGATAAACGGCAACACAAATATGATGCCTCGTAAAAATAAAGGAGATGGACCTATTGTGGTATTGAGTGATGGTTGTCGAGTTAGGAGTGTGCGTTATATTTTCTCTCCCGTTGCAACGCACGTGCTCTTTTGCTAGTAAAAACCAAGTCTCGATGGGAGAATTGGCTACATGAAGACGAGCCCAAAAACCTACCTCTCGCATCCCTAAAAAAAAACTACGTCTCGCGTGCTTAAAAATAGGACTGCAATAGCGAACGAATGTTCGCTGGGAGGGATATAATTTGGGAACGTTTTTTCTAGCAATTTCTTCAAATTCACATGAACATTTTTATTCTAAAAACTGTCACCATTAGATCTCGCGTCGCATCTAAAACTGTCAAGAAAATACGTTCGTTTGCCCTCTCCCTGCCAAGGAATGTTCATCGGATAATATTCCCAAGAAAAAACTTCTCGCCTATTATTGCGAGAGACCGAATAACATCGAAATCATCAGTGAAGATTACCCAGCTGGGGGATTTCCCATTTTTCATAGATTCGTTTATTAATTTTTTTTATCTCTTAAACCATACTTCCAAACAAAAACAGTCTTCATCATCGGATTTCTAGCACATAGATTATTTTTTTGTGAGAAAACTTCCGATCTATTCATCAGCTGTCAAGGTAGTACAAAGAACACCAGAAGTAAAAAAATACATCCAGATCCGTCGACCACTTAGCGACGACTGCAGGCACTAGAGCAAATCGAAGGCACGCCGCCGTCTTCGCCCCTCCCTTATCGGAGTCGGGTAAACCTTTTTGTAGTAGACAGTCAGGAAGTCTTTGTGCTAAGGCTCCATAGGACCAGCGCACTAGAACAACAACCGCCACCAATGAAGAGAAGACATAGATCAGAAGGATCTAACCTGTAGACACACGAACACAGATGAATGAAGAAAGGATCCACGTGGATCCACCAAGACAAACGACGGCCGAATTCCATGAGATCCACGGGAGGCATACTTCCACACACCCTTCGGCGATGATAGAAACACCACGGGGATGGGGACTAGGCGGGGAGAATCTTATTCCATCTTCAGAGAGCCATTGCCACCTTGCCTCTCTGACCATGACAAAAACCCTAACCAAACTTAAAAAACCATGAAAAAACGAAGCCTTCCCGCTGGCAAGGGCCAAGATCCACCGCACCTCCATGACCCTAAGACCATAGAAGACGAGGCAGACCGGCGGCGGCACCGGCAGAAGGCAGAGAAACCCTAGCCAAGGGGTCCTCTTTTCTTTCACGGTAAGAAGGAAAACAGAGTGGTATCTGGTGCATGCCTTACATCTAGATCTTTGAAATTAGATCCCATTTTAATAGGTTTTGATGAACCCTTTTCAAGAAAAAACCAACAACCAAAAAAAGGAAACAATAAAACAA